TGTATTTGCCTCGTTATTGGCTTCAATAAAACAGCGATAACACGATCCCCCCACTTTTCCACGATATCCAAGAACGATTTGATCAACGTGAAACAACGTTGAAAACAAGATACATATATATATATAATATGTTTTCATTTTGTAGAAGAGATATTTGATCCATGATCAAATTGAAATTAGTGAAGAAATTATTTAACAATAATGAAAACAAGAGATTGTAAACAAACAAATCGAGAATATGAATAAACATTCCATGATGTAATGTAAATGAACTATTGAAAAAATGGGATGTTTAATATTAAATCCAGAATGTTTACGCATTCGTTGAAAATTTAAATCGCAAAATGATATACGATATAACGTAACAAGTGATCTTCATTTCTTCGATGATTATTATTATTATTATACATACAATATATAAGAATTTGCGTAAAAATATATAGAATTTAATAATCGATAAAAATCAAATAAAACGCGATGAAAACGAAATGGAATCTCCATTAATTTTCTCAATATTTAAATTTTTTATACCAATATTTCCAATATTTCAGTTTATTATCATTTTCCGATATTTCAATTTCTTATTATTATGTTCCAATATTTTTATTTATATCTCCCAATATTTAAAATTTCCATCACTTTTCAATATTCCGATATTCTTTATTATTAATTTTCGATATTTCATAACTCTTTATTATCTTTCTTTTCTTCTTTCGATCAATCTTCAGCATCCCACTTTAACGAAAGATAATGCATTTCCGACATTTTGGTCGGTTTTCAATTTTTCGGAACAAAGCTTGGGTTAAGTAAATTTCAGAAAATAATCGAGGCAAGGTCGAGCGGTTCATTCATCTCAAAACTGTCATAAACGCGTTACAACGTCGCGGTTAATAACGCACCGGCGGAATACATTTGCAAATTAATGAAAGTGGAACTAAATTCCGTGGCCCACGTTGCCAGCCAGAAAGCAGAGGAACTTCGAACGCGATGAAATTCGTTGTTATGATTAATGATCGCACAGTGATTTTCTACAGTGGAGGGGAGAGGGGATTTCTTCTTTTTCGGCGAATGGTGAATTTCATTGATGAAGGTCGGTGAATGAGGATTGCGTATAACGATGGTAATTAGCAGGAGACTCTCCCATTGTGTAAGCTTACCCTTTCTTTTCGATTCTGTATTAGATAGGATGAATTTGATATTCTTTCTCAGTGGAGAGGGAACATCATTGATGTTAAGCTTTTGAATAAAAGATTGCAATTCTTATCATTTTTGAATTATAAAATATAATGTATTTATTGCAGTCTTTTTGAATTGAATAAAGTATAATGTATAAGTAATGTATTAGTAAAGTATAATGTTAGTTAAGCTGGTGTGTATTAAATATTTTATTATAAATTCATATTATATTTATGAGATTTAAAATATTAAAAAATAATTAGAATATTCTGTGAAACTTTCTTTATATCAAATTTAAAAAAAAAAACTGTAACTAGATTGCTACATTAATTAACATTAATTTAATATTTGGAAAAATTGTAACTATATTATTCCATGATTTTTTTCCTATTTTGAATTTGATAATTTTTGTAAATTTTATAAAATGATGGTTAATTGATTAAAAAAAAAATTATGTGATTGACAATTATTTTTGTCATGTATTATAAACGAAATATGAATAAGTGATTTAATTTATACAGATATAGATACAAATTTTATTCTATAAAATTATTAAACGAAGTAACGTCTAATTCTAAAAGTAAAGAAATGAAAGAATATAGTCAAGTATATAGTCATGATATGAATGGTAATGATATTGAATGGTAGCAAACAATATAATTACGTAGATTTAATATTTCTCGTACAACTCAACGTGCGTCAACGAGAAACGACGTGACGTTTCAAAATAATCGTTGTCCCTTTTCGGATCTGCAAATGCAATCATATCACGTTTGTAACTAACGGTACAAAGAAATTTATCGTTTATCTCTGTTTCTCT